TCTCTCTCTCTCTCTCTCTCTCTCTCTCTCTTGTTTGTTTGCAAAATCCCAATGAATCTTCCCGCGTTCACGGCAAGATTCATAACAATTTTGCAAACAGACAAACGCGCGGGGAAGGGGGGGTGGGGTAGAAGGGGGGAGAGAGAGCTATCAATTGAGCTGCAGAACCTACACGACTTACAGACAATCCTACATCAAGAGCAGGTCAGATTCCACGATAAAACAGTTCTGTTGCCCCCCCTTTGGCTTTTTTTTTTTACATAAACAAATATTTCGATTGTTTCTGATTTTTCCCTTTTTTTTAAGAATCTCCAATTTTTTCCTTCTTCAGCCCGTGGTGACACCGGTAGGCTTCGCTTACCGGTAGCTCCAGGCTCGGAGTTGAAAGCTGAGAAAGGTACTGGTGGTTTAATGGGGGGAAAAAGAGAAGGAAAGGAGGATGAGGGTGGGAGAGGAACTGACCATCCATAGAACAACTCGCATATCCTTTGTTGAGATTACAGCTTGAACAATGTTGAAGCATCGGTGCGCATCTACAACCTCGACAATAGTCATAGCTCCAAGCAGAAACAAGATGATTTCGCTTGCAGATGATGTTTGCTCGTTGAGCTCATCCACTGCTATAATACCAGGTACCTGCGCAATGCAAGCACTCCAGGAAACACAAGTGCAAGGAACCATGCAACAAGGACACCGAGAAATCAGATTGCAATTTGCAACATCATCTCACAGAAGGTCAAATAGGATTGCGCCGAGTTGGAAGCAGAAAACCAAAGCGGGAATGCGCCGAGTTGGAAGCAGAAAGCCCTACTAGCGGCCTGACCATCCCTCCTACGTCCTAACTTCTATCATACTGACTGATCTACATGCCAGCTCTCTGTCCAAGTGCCAATCACCCAATGCTGCTTAAAGTCTCTGCTCATACAAGCTCTCTTTGACAACATGTTACATGCCCGGTTGGGCGATGTACATACAAACCGAGGACCCGCAATGTGATAAAAAGGACTGAATGGACAATGCAGTGCAAGTAGAATCTCAACAAGCAGTGTGCATTCCGATATATACAAGAATGGTGCTTTATAGCGCAGTGGAAGACTTAAATACAAGTCCTGACCTGAACGGGACTGACCTCTTTCAAGTAGTGCAAGATAGCGCAGCAGAATCCTAGAATACTAATGACGAGCCCAGTCAATGTTGCAATGCAGACTAAACATACATCATTCTCATCACACGCTGTGAACGGAGCCTGGCGCTACACACAGGAAGAAGGCGCCAGGTCCAAATCATGCACAGACGAAGAGGAGGGAAACAGACGAAGAAGGAGGGGGGAAGATGGGAATGTCGTCAACACCAAGTCTTCGTTACAAGTCCCTGATAACCCCTCGTCAAATGTCTGAAGTCCAATGTCGAGTCTGGATCCAAATGTCACCGGGCTCTCTCTTCCTCTCTCGTAGTCTGCTGATGTAGTGAAGTCAGATAGTGAGAGGGTGAGTGGACGGAGAAGAGGAAGAAGAGGAATGTCGTCAACACCAAAACTTCATTACAAGTCCCTGATAACCCCTCGTCAAATGTCTGAAGTCCAATGTTGAATCTGGATCCAAATGTCATCAAGCTCTCTCTTCCTCTCTCGTAGTCTGCTGATGCAGTGAAGTCAGATAGTGAGAGGGTGAGAGGGAGATGGTGGACTGAGAAGAGGAAGAAGAAGAACTCTCTCTCTCATATGCCAGGTACTAACCTGTGAAGATGGCGCTGTGCTGCAGGTACCTCGAAGACGAAGCTGGAGTGATGGCGCTGCAGGTAAGTCCTCCTGGCCTCTGCCCAATCTCTCGGTCTCTCGTACTACTCTAGCTCCTATGGCGCCCAGTGCTGAAGACTACTGCTAACGCTACTAGCGCCCAGCGCTGAAGACTACTGCTAGCGCTACTACTACTACTGCAGCGCTCCTCCAGAGTCCTGCTGCCGAATCCTGAAGACTACCTCCTGCCTCCTGAACTGCACGTGAAGTGCCTGGGAAGTACCTAGGAACTACCTGCAGCCTGCAGGGCGGGCCAGTCTTATATAGTGCTGGCCCGTCCAGTAGGCTGCTCTTGCCAATGCCAAAACGTGCCAGACCCTGGGGTTGAAGCTCAAACAAAGGTTGTCTTGAAAATAGGCCAAAACCGGCCTGAGCTAAAACCCTGGTATGGTGCCTGAGTTTCAGGGTAGGTCGGTCTTATGAGGGCCTGGAAATGGCCCTCAGTTTAAGGCTGAAAATACACAGGGCCGGAAATGCCCTGATTTAGCCTGAAACGACACAGGGCCTGTAGGCCCTTGTTTTCAGGCTTTCAGGCTGAAACGACACGGGGCCTGTAGGCCCTTGGTTTCAGGCTTTTGGCCTGAAAATGGCCCGTGCAGCCTGTTGCAGGCGCAGCATGTAACACAACACCTGGAAAGTACCGCCAGTCCTGGCTGCCTTCCTTCTACTCTGATCTCCACTCTGACCATCCAGATACCTACGCCCAGCCAGCTATGGTGGCACTCTTCTCTTTCGCTGCCACCACAGCAGCGTCTTCCTTACCCATGGGCGCTGCACTCAGCTACTGCACAAGCAGTGCTGCCGCATCGGCACAATGCCTGATCTCCTACCTGCGTGCCTCCAAGACTTTAGTGCTGGATGAGGAGGCCGCGACCAGGCCCTGTCCAGTCCCAGTAAGCAGTGCCTCAGGCCTACTGGGTCTGCGTGCAACTCCCAGCCTCTACGACTAACTCATGGTCTGTGCAACGTGGTTTCCCTAAAATCCAACCCCTTTTTAACTTTCTCCCACCCCCTATGATGATGGCACAACATGCTTTCAAAGTTCAAAAGCAAGCCCAAATCCCTTTTTTTTTTTTTTTTTTGAATCTGGAGTGCATTTGCCATTATATTGTGGAAATTATTTTAAAATAAGCATACCAATCCGAGGCCTTACTTGTCACCAGTGCTGCTCTGCACCCAATGAAGGTACGCTCCGCAGTACAGGGGCGAGATCCCACTAGCAAAGGGGATTAGATTAAGTGCCTGAATCTGGATGTGTTTTACGCAGAGATCAACCGTGATTTTTTGCAGCTCTCGACAAACAGGTCCAGATTCAGGCATTAAATTCAATCCTATTTGTCAGTGGGGCCTCACCCCTGAAGGCACACCAGAACGGTTGAAGTCAACTCAATGCTGCAGACTGCCCCAATGGTTGAGAACATGTCGTACTGAGCCTTTTGCCTTGTCTGGATTTGTCAGACACGTGGTGGGTCGCGTGCTGTCCGAGCGGAGTGTGCGTTTGATTACCGTGTCTGAGGTGTGGTGTTGTGTGTGTGGTGTGAGTTCAAGGACGCTACAGCCCCGGGGGTGGGCTGGATATCACGATAAGTATGGTTCTAGTTCTTATAAGGCGTCCAAGGGTTGTAGTGGTTACAAGACTTCATTCCTATGGCTGAGGGTGCCGGTTCGAGACCATGCCTGCACGGCGGGCCCTGACACCCTAAAGTACGTTGATCAGTATCTACTGTGAAGGCGCCCGTGGAACCCGTGGGAAGTTGGCCAGCCTTGGAATGACCAGGTTAAGTAGTGGTGGTGGGTCGCGTGCTGTCCAAGCTGAGTGTGCGTTCGATTGCCGTGTCCGTGGTGTGGTGTTGTGTGCGTGGTGTGAGTTCAAGGACACCACAGCCCTGGGGGTGGGCTGGATACCACTGCCGATATGGATCCAGTTTTAATAACACCTCCAAGGGTTGTACTCGTTACGAAACTTCGTTTCTGTGGCTGAGGGTGCCGGTTCGAGGCCCTTGCATGCGCTGCGGGGCCCGATGCCCTAAAGTACGTTGATCAGTATTTACTGTGAAGACGCCCGTGGAACTCGCGGGAAGTTGGCCCGCCTTGGACTGACCGGGTCAAGTTCCAGTGGTGGGTCGCGAGTTATCCTAGCAAAGTGTGCGCTGTCAGCAATGTTTGATGTCGATGAGGGAGAGGTTAGAAGTAGCTTAGTAAAGGAGTTAGACTGTGATATGGAGTATACTTTCCATTTATCTTAAGCATAACAATGATCTTTCTGGCATGTACTGTGATGCAGGTCGACGCTTTGATTGAAGGCTCGACTAGTTTCCACCTTATCCATCAAGGATCACTTTCCTGTTATCATTTGATAACAGGTCAGTTTATGACACAACTCTACCTGCCTTTCCATCTCAACCTACTGCCTTAGCCTTGTGAGTCTTAAATGCTTTTTAAGATTTTCACCCAAACTTCTTTCTAAATGGTCATTTTTAAGGATTGAGTACCTTTTTTTGGGAAGATGGAAAATGGATGAGGCTTGTGTGTGTAAGGCAGGGTGTGAGTCGCAGGGAATGGTAGAGTTGACTGCGTTAGTGCATGGCATGCGGCTGTTGGTTTTATGTGAGTCTAGGCACGAGTTAAACTCAAATTGAAGATTTTTTAGGAAGAACGTCGCGTGGTTAAAATAGTCGTCCTAGTTGACCGGCATAGGATCGCGCTTGGGAGATCAGCGCCCCAAGCGTCAATTTGCGCACAGGTTTGATTCGGGCGTTAACCGCTCGTACCCCCTATGCTACAGCGAACCAAAAACGCCCTCGGCCGATCCACACTCCGCGGCCGCATGTAGAAGCTCTCACATGTAAAACAATAGCTCGGTGGGGATACACCCACCTAAGGGATGGTGACAACTCCCACGGGTGGAGGTAAGTTATGCCTCACGAGGTCCTATCTTGTCGTAGGAGCTCGAAAGAGGTATAGCTGGCGCCCTCAGCCGGAATGACACCGCTCCTTGAACGCTTTGCATCTCAACTACCAAAATCCTGTGTGACGTGCTCGGGAGGGTCCCCATGCAGGACAAATGCGCTCAACAATGCTAGATTGCCATGTCCGTGGTGTGGTGTTATGTGTGTGGTGTGAGTTTAAGGACGCTACAACCCTGGGGGTGGGCTGGATATCAAGACCGGTATGGATCTAGTTTTCACAACACCTCCAAGGGTTGTAGTGGTTATGAGACTTCGTTACTGTGGCTGAGGGTGCCGGTTCGGGGCCGTGCATGCGGCGGGGCCTGATGCCCTAAAGTGCGTTGATCAGTATCGACAGTGAAGGGGCCCTTGGAACCCGCTGGAAATTGGTCCGCCTTGGACTGACCGGTTAAGTAGCGATGGTGGGTCGTGTGCTGCCCGAGTGGGGTGTGCGCTTGATTGCCGTGTCAGTGTGTGGTGTTGTGTGTGTGGTGTGAGTTCAAGGACGCTACAGCCCTGCGGGTGGGCTGGATATCAAGACTGGTATGGAGCTTGTTTTTACAACACGTCCAAGGGTTGTAGTGGTTACGAGGCCTCGTTCCTATGGCTGAGGGTGCCGGTTCGAGGCCGTGCGTGCGCGGCGGGGCCTGATGCCCTAAAGTACGTAAATCAGTACCTACCTGTCCGTGCCTAGCAACCTGATTGTCTTTGATTTCGTTTTTTTTTAATGCAATAATAATATTCCATTACGAAACTACCCGACTTTGTAGAAGGGCGAGACATAAGCTTAGGCCGACGCTGGAGTGATCATCTTTGATCACTGGGTTCTTTTTGCGCTGCACATTATGTCCTCCCCAAGAGCAAGCCTCACATGATGTGCTTTTAATGTCTACATAAAAATACACCTGATTTTGCACGTGCGGCATACTCTCCGTATGGCTGTGCAGGCTGTTGAGGGGGGTTAGGCGGGGGGTGGGGAGGGATATTTTTTGGAAGTTGTTGGGGTGGGGGAATGGAGAGCGGCGGCACATGAACTGCAAGTAGACAGTCAGCAGGTATGCAGGGAAGAAACAATAAAGTTGAGTAAACATTGAGAACACCATCTGCACCACATTCCACTCACAGACCCACCTGTAGGAATAAGGCGGCGTGCTCGATGCGTTTTGATAGCCCACCAGCCGGGTTCCTCAGGAGGTGCATAGAGCTTCTGTTTGTAGGGGAGCCTGGGGGGAGGGGATTGTGCAAAAAAGAGAAAAGAAATGGGCCGGGGTTGGGAAAAGGACCCACACTGACGCTCCCCAGAATGGATATAAAGCATGAGCAAAAGGGTTAAACCACCAGTACCCCAGGGGGTCTTAGGCCCCCTCTGGGGAGGCTCTGACGCAAATGCATATGGACCCGCGCGGTGCACCGATTCAGCCACCGCGTTAACAGCCTGAACAGGTGGAGGTACTGGTGGTAGCAGCCTCTGCCCTGCCTTGATTCCCTTGAAAAGAACAATTGTGAGAAAAAGTAAGGAGAAAAGCTTACCGTGATGCTTCGGATCGTCCAAAGGACCACTGTCATCAGCAATACTAAAGCACTCTTGTTGAAACCAAGCACCCCCTCAAAGGCAATCCCTGCATACCCTAAGGCAAATACCACTGCCATTGCTAACCCCTGCACAGGCCACCACAATTACAGATAATCAGATTTTATTCAGGATCTAACTAATGGAGTGGTGGAATAAAAAAGGGAAGGGGTGGTTGTGTGGGGGGAAGGTGGGGGGGGGGGGACAAAGAGAATAAAAGAAACTAGTCAGTGTCAGTGCTTCCTCTCAAGAGACACCTTTTTCCCCCCTTAGAACCCAAGCCCTAAGGATCTCCAGGATTAGAGATAGACCCAATGATGCTATGATCGAGCAACGACATCATGAACCTGGGTGTTAGAATCATGGTTTCAGAACATGAACATAGCATCAGTCGGATCCCAAGTTCCCCACATGTAGCCCTGTAAAACTCAGACAAAAACTATATGCAGACTTCCTCAAGAGGCATATAGGGAACAGTCGTTTACTCCCCTGCTGTCTCTTTTTTTTTTTTTTCTTTAAGAAAACCGCTCCATCATTTGGTAGGGAGCATCACCGGCTGGAAACTGGGTCCAGCGTCCCTTGAAATCCATGCCAGGTTTGACAATTGAGAGATAATGACGACACCCAGTATCAGCCAAATTTCCCAACTGCAAGACCTACCTCTTCACCCAATAACGGGTGCCAGCTATGATCAATAGGCCCTGGTATCTGCATCTTGCAGCTCATTAAATTGACAGACTACTGAAACTTTTAAATTAATGGGAAACCAACTTTGCATTCTCTACTCTTGACCATACCAACTTATGGGAACAATACTCATTGATGAAGGGGGGGGGAGGATTCCTGAGACTCGGAAAGAGGACTTAGTGGAATGGAAGGGTGCAGAGTTGTCCATTCATGGAACACCAGGCAAAAATCCCTACAAATGTCATTCTGATTGTCCTCTTGTGCCCCCTTCCACTTTATTTCCCCCCCAATCTCCCCCCTCATTTTTGTTTTTGGGACACTGCAAGCCAGTCACCACAAAATGTTTGAAGGTGATGAAGGATTGCAGATTTGGAGGATAGTGTTTTAGTAACTTTTTACTTTGTCTTTCACTTTCTCCCACTGAGAGGAGATGCTTGTTTGGATTTGTTGTTTGATTGAGTCCGTAAACCCCGGGCCATCCAACCGAGCCCCTTCCATCTCATGCGTACATCACTGTCGCCTTAATGCCCCACAAATGGCCCTTCTCCCAGATCATGAATAAATGTATCTAACTGTGGGGGGTTCCAAGTTTCACACAGCAAGGCTTTCCAGTCCCATGGCCAAGGAAGCGATGTGCCCAACTGACTCCATATCCTATCCCACCATCTCCAAAGCCACACCGCTCCCGGGCATTGCAGGAAAATATGTTCTATGGTTTCCGGAATGTTTTGCGAGGGGCATGCAGATGAACAGAACTTATACTCCCCTTCTGTCTACTTTCCTTTCTAGACCTTCCCTTCTGGTTTGACTTTTGATTTCCAACGGGAAACTCTCTCTTCTGCTCCCACTCTCACACATGGGGTCGGTCTGACGAAAAAAGACAAAGGAAAAAACAACAACAAGGGGTCATTTTCCAACAGGACCTTTCAATATAAGGCTTATAAGCTCTGTTTTCCAATTTAAATCCCAAAAGATCTTCAGTACCCTCCTGGGACCTTGTATTCGCGACAAAATAGCTCACCCACTTTATACCGTCTTCCCCCGAACATAATGCACTCTGATAATGAATGTATACAAGCGATCTTTAGGTTCGGTACCGAGTCATGCTCAAGTTTCCAGAGTGCTCCCCTGATGCATTACATGATTTTCAATGGTTTTTTAGGAAGTGGTTGTCTCTCTCATGAAAAGTATTTCTTGGGGGACCATATCAAATTGTGCCGTATGGGATAGTGCTGCTAGAATTAGCATGGGTATTTGGTGGCCTCGATTGGGCTGAAGAGGCAGTAGCCGCAGTACTCTCTTCCTATTTGGTTTATGTATCAACGATAAGGGACGCTGGACCCATTTTCCAGCAGGTGCAGCTCCCCACCAATAGACTGGAGCCCATTGCTAGGTTGCTAGTGATGGATGCTCCCACCGACATTACTAGCAATCTAAGCCGGTTTTTATTAAAACTAAAAAAAAAAAATAAAAAAAATCAGGGTGCGTTTGTTCCGGGGAAGACGGTACCACTTGGTTCTGTTTGACTTTGTGCTTTGAGGTAGTGGACCATATCTTTGACTCTAGGTGTCTGAATATCTAGATCGTCTCCTGAACCCAACACCCGTCTTAACCCGAAGAGCATACCGCAACATTATCGCTGGATCTGGTCTGAAAGTTGCCCTAAATACAGCTATTATGGACGGGCATTCTACGGTAGTTCAGCACCACCATAGACATAGAGGACAGCCCACTTGCTAACAAGTGTTTCTTTTGCCCCAAAAAACACATCTGTTCTTGATGACCAGGAATTTTTCAGGCAGCCTGTTTCGTGACTGAGAGGAACAGATCTGTTTTCTGTATGCTTTGTTTCAAAGGGAAGCAGGCAGCAGCGAAGGGAAAGGAAAACTTGTATATGGGGGGGTTCAGCAGTTGATCTTTCCAATCACTAGGAAATAATTGATGAGCCTTTTGCTGGTGGGAAAAACCGGGCCCTCTGCTCCAGGAGGTTTGCCTGGCCATAATAAGGGGAAGTGCGTGGTGCATATCTGTGCGAAGCACTTTCCCACTTTCTGTGGAAAGCGACCGGACTGCTGCTCCCCAGAACATAATGAAGCAAGGAACGAAAGGCCCCATTCATCAAAGACCCATGCACAAGAGCAGAACAGATCAATTCAGCAAAGTCGCTGGAAACTACGCAGGAGGACGGAATCGTTGCCTGGAAGGCGGCGGCAGAGCGCTACCGGGAGCGCCCCGCCGCCCGGCGCTTGGACGTGACAGCAGGCCTCACGGAGAGAGCGGGAATGAGGAGCGGCGGAGCACAGTGACGGCGAGATCGACGCGAGGAGGAGGTGGGCGGGCGTGACGGCGGGTCTTGCGGAGCGGCGGGAATGCTGGGATGATGAGGTTCACGCAAGGAGGGATGGGAGAAAGGGCGTCTGGGCGCCATTGGGTAGAGCGTTTCACACCAAGGTCTTAGTGGAAGAGGAGGAACATGGTGGGTGGGAGAATAGGGGAAGGAAGGGTTACGGGTTGGAGGGAGAGGATTACTAGGAGGTAGAGGAAGGATGGCATCTGCAACGTGGACTCCCCCTCATCTTTTCGGACTACCTGCGAGGGGTGGCTGGCGGGCTCAGCGGCTTATTCTCGCGACGTGGTTTGGCATGCTGCAAGGGCAATCCCGACTGCGGTTCTATTATCATCACCGTTCGGTCTTATTGTTTTTTTTTTTTTTTTTTTTTTTTTTTTTTTTTTTTTTTTTTAAATGCCCTGAGTAAATGCTCAGGGTAGCTGATAAGAGCAGACTACCCTAGCAAACTCTAGGGGGCTCCATCTATTTGTGGGGAGCAGCACCTGCTGGAAAACGGGTCCAGCGTCCCTCACAATTTGAGAAGGTATCATAGACCAATCACTGCAATGACTGTACTGAGTATGTCCACCTCCTACTAGGAGTATCCTGAAAATGCCAGACCTGCTGTAGTTGAAGTTGACCTCTTCACCCAAAAAGGGGCGCCAGATGTTGTCTTTCTTANGAGGATCTGTCTGCCAGCCAGTCATTTGTGGGAAGGCACCGGTGTTCTATCTGCCATTGAAGGGAAGCAACCTTTGAAGGTTTGATCTTGGAATCCTTGAACCATTTGATGTTTCTGAGATCCTCTTTGTTAATGTTTAGCTGTTTCATCCATCTTTCCACCACCCTATCTTTCAGATTGAGTTTGGGCCTAATCATTCGGTAAGTTGACTTGATCGATAGAGTGTGTAAATATCTGCTGAAATTTCTGTTGAGCTTGTTTTTGGCTTCCCACGACCAGTTTGCAAAATCAATGGGCAGTTATGAGATAGGTGTGTATGGTCTGAAGGCGAGATATGACTGTGCCTCTAATGACAGGACTCTGATTCTGAAGAGATTTCCCACTGACGTCCAGAAAGGGGCAAGGTCATTGTTGAGGGTTAATACATTATCTTCCCCTAATTCCCATGGGGCGATTAAGGCCTCCTTCTCGATATGAGAATGACGTTACCTATCTTTCGTGGTTCATCTTTCGTTGCCACCCAATTACTTTCCTGGAGTTTCTTCCCTCTCTTAAGCACTCTGAACCACTCAAGAAGGATGAGTTCCACGATTTTGTCTATATTATTTTGTATGTGACGACAATGTTTTAGCTTCTTGTGGAGGAGGTGAGGTGAGATCCAGTCCCGCGAATCTTCATCCCACATGTCCCTGATCCTAGTTACCCCCCTCCTAATCCAAATCTTCCATGGATTATCATTACAGTGTAGTGTGGTACCATGGCGGACCCTGATCCAGGTGTTGTTGAAAAATGGTTGTTGGTTTATCTCTTCCCATCGTAGAGGAAAATGCTTATCTGGTTGGGGTAATTTCCTCCAGGTCTTGAGAATAGTTCGGTCTTATTGCTTGGTTGAATGATTGTCAATCACAGGCGGCCGAGTTGCCGAGAAGCCGATGAAGCGAGGAGGTGAGGTTTGGAGAGAGGGGGGGTGTATTCAAGGTTTGTCAAGGGTATGGTTCCTCTTCCGTTTGACCTTGATCGTGCTTATTCGTCTTGATATCTGTCTGTTTGTGTATTAGTATTGTTGAACATAACTAACAATCCTGATTCAGTGATCCCTAGTTCTTAGTCCTTTTGAGATGTGGTAGTTTGTACTTTTTCGATTGTTTGCGTCGGATATAGATTCGCTTGTTTTTGCGCACATATCCTGATTGCTGTCTGTTTTGCTAATTGGTAATTTTGGATTACTATCAGATTGCACTTTTTCGATTGTTTAGATTCGCTTGTTTTTGCACACATATCCTGATTGTTGGATTACTATCAGAACGATTCCTCGGACCTTGGGGTCCTAGGAATCTGAATCCAAAGTCCTTTTGGACATCACATATTACTTTCTCTGATTCACTATCACAACGATTCCTGGGATCTTGGGGTTCTAGGAATCTGAATCGAAAGTCCTTGGACATCACAGTTGATTCCTTCATTGCTTTCAATTTCATTTCTAAATCTATGACTTTCGAAGTCATTCTTCATTTGGATTAATCCCAAATCTAACCTTAGATCTATCGCTCGTTTTAGTTCTAATCTTTATAAGATGTTTTAGATAGAATTTCTGAATTTGGTTTCTGAATTTGGTTTTCTATTACCATCTTCTAAATTAGGTTCTGATGGATTTTTTGATTAAAAAAATCAGGGGTTAGAAGTTTGTGGAGGGAAGAAAGGGATTCGCAACAGAGGAGGGTATTCGGTCAGGGTAAGTAGGTTAGAAGGACGACGCTCTGGAGCTGGTGCTATGTGACACGGGGGGAGCTTGAGGCCTGCGAAGTTATGCCGAGTGCATAACCAGACCGTCCGACGAGGCTGGCGCCGGGGTATTGACCCTGTAACCTGTTTGGGGCTTGCCG